TAGTTTCAATACATTCGGCACTTCTCATTTCTTACAATGGATTCAATATCCCCCGTAGTGTAGGGTAATATCGGTGTCTTGTCAATGTCGCATATAGGTACTGAACATGCTGAGAGCAAGTGCATATATACGTTACTTTTTTGATTTGAGAAAGCGGAATGTACATGAAACATACCAATGATTTTTCAAAGAAGCCTTTTGCTGAATGCTTTTGAATATGTAGGAGTAAGGATGCAAAAATTTGGGTGAGACTTTCCGATGAAACAGGATTTGTTTCAAACACTTCTCAATTCTGATAAAGGAGAACTTTCTGGTCATGTTGAACTGGATCTCTATCTGGATGTAACAAACGAGTTATCTCGTTTTTTTAGGCGAAGAAGCTATTCTATAGCAAAACAAGTGTTGCGTTTTTGTAAAACTATTTAGTGAAAATCTCACAACGAAGTGTTTTTGAATTATTAAAAAATATTGGAGAAACAAACTGATATATTAACTTTTGGTGATATAAGCTTCCAATTAGAAAAGGTTCACGAAATCAAATTATCAATTCATTTTTCTGAAACGCTGATCATTATGTTTCATTTGTTAAAATCACAGCCCAAAACCAAATACCTAATAAAACAGAGTTCTTTCGACCTGTCATAGTGATGCTGAGCACGAATGCATTTTCAGACTAGACTGTCTTTGAAAGATAAACTTGAGTATAAATAAACATGAATGAGTCCTCTTCCAATTGTTATAAAAATACAAATCCACATTTGAAATATGTGGGTGTCCCAAGTCTCACAAGTGGACGACTCCCTGTGAAAGTAGCTAGTATGAACAAATGAAGATTACTCACAACAAAGGAATTATTCAAAGTGTTTTGTTTTTCTGGTTTATCTCGAGAACCAAAACAGAAGGAGTCAATTTTTCAGTAGCATTTGGTAGTACCCAAGAGTGCGCTACTCTATCAGAGTTTAACCTACACTCTATATGGTACCGAGATCTCTAAGCATGACCTAGAATTTGAATATCCCGTCATATAAGTAATACGTAAAATGTTATGAATAAAAAAATCGTTATAGCCAAAACTTTTGATTTAAAAATATTCTCTCCGATTTGAAGCGACACTGAAAATTTATTGAAATGTCAACATGGTAAATTTATGAACATAATCACTCATTCAAAGCACATAGCTCACTATTTGAAAAAATATTCTTAGTGAACACTCTAGCTTGAATCAATAACATTCTTTACGAGTGTCCTAGAAAATAATTATATGCAATCGATGATGATATCCGTAGAACGGGCTCTTCACTATTGGCACAGACACAAAATTATCTACATTTAATTACTAATTCGATTTGGATTCAAATTTTTTGATTGTTGAAAGAGTTTGGTGTTATTATTACTCACGTGAGTTGTGGAAATAGATTTATCATCACTCATCACTATATTAATTAGAGGTGATTATGACAATCCTGAAACTGAAATTAATAGCATCTCCTCCTATGAAGATGCCCTTTATGGAATCGACAGAATATCCTCGAATATCAAAGATAAATGAGGCTCCCCAAGGCGATCCGTTGCAAAACTGAGCTTCGATATCGACAACCGAACGGGATTCGTCTTCTGTCTTCCATTGCAATGCAGCTAGTTGTACTTGTTCCAACATCAGACAGCGTTGTTACGACCCAGCAAGGTCTCATCAGTGATGCTTGGTTGAACCACTTAACTATATATCCTTAATGGGAAGTGAATATGATGATATCACTCCGTACGAATTTGCCGACTATGGGATCGACAGAAGACGGAATCCTCGATAATCGAAGATAAATGAGGCTCCCCGGGACGATCAGTTGCAGATATCGACCGTTGAACGACAGTCGTTTTACGTTTCCACTGCTACTACTTTCAAACTCGTAGTTTTTTGGAAGTGGTTTTGTCTGGCACCACTGATGAGATCTGGTGGGTCAAAACAGTGCTGTCTGGTGTTGGATCACAAACATAACTAGTTGCCTTGCAGCGAGAGCTACAGTGGAAGACAGAAGATAGATCTCTTTCGGGGTCGCCTTTGCAACTGAGTGCCTTGGGGAGCCTCGTTTATCTCTGCTATTCTAAGATAGAGTCTTAGTTGTCCGGTAGTAATACAGGAGATTCCTGGATATAGGGATTGGCAGAAGAGATCACCGAATAACTTAGGGTTTTTGTGGATATCTTGAATCCATTTTCGCTGATATAGATGATCTTGAATGGTGGTCAATTGCTTTTTAATTGTTACGGAATTATTGGAGAACAGATTTCATCGATGTTCAGATAACAATGGCAACATTTTGAACAGTTTATATCGGATAGTAAGTGAGTGAATCCAATACTTTCCATTCTAAATATTTCTTTCTCGCAATTTGACAGTCATCTTTGTGGAAAAAATAAAAAACTTTCTTTTCATTATTGAAGGTGAAACCTAATCTTCCAAATACTTGTTCTTTATTTGATACTTACTTTGAAAACAATTATTTTCAGTGATAATTTTGAATCATTTCTGTGGCTCTAATTAACAAATTGAATATCACCATACCTTGTCATAAAAGGATTGTTTACTTTTTCAATTTGTTTTCATTCGAAGGACCATCTTGAAGAAAAAGTATTCATTTTCAGACGCTTGAAAATTGGTCAATACCATGTGGCTGATGATACGAATTACATGACCATTATCATTTCTGGACAAGTAAGTTGTTAAAAATAAATTGCCCTCACAGGTTATTTTGATTCATTGTGCTGTTTTATTGTGGCGGTATCGTTTCACTCCATAGCTCATAATGTTTATATAATCCATCTATCAAGACATCTGTCACTGGGCTTATCTTCTTCCGGAATATTTTGGTGAGTAAACAATATGGGACACTTCATATTGAACCTGGCATCGAACAATGGGAATACCATCGACGAAGGTTTGAATTAGACGGTTTAAGGACAACTGAGGACGATATAGTCGAAATAATGTTTTACTGCATGAAGTAGCTCAACAAGGCTTTGAAATTTTCATGAATCATTTCAAGGTACAAAAGTTGCCAAAGAACACCCAACCGAAACTCATTAGTGAACTCAACGAGTTCTACGGCAAGACAGTATAATTTTCGCCAAAATAAGAAACTGTGTGGGATGTATAGAAAGGAAAATAAAAATGTTAACTACTTTGAGGTTCAGCGTGAGATTGCGCACAATCATGAATGGTAGGAAAAAATATTATAAAAATTTTCCACCAATTGAACTATGTAGAATACGCTTCTATTTGAATCAAACGGCTGAAGTTCCATGCACACTGCAACAGGATAGAACGGGCTGGGACGGGAACATGACGTGAACCTTGCTACCAGCCAACTGGGTGGTATATAGTTCCACGCCAGACTAGCTCTATACAATTAATTATATGAGAATAGGTAAAATCATTCACAGTCCGTTTTAGAGAAGAGCTGATTTCTATCAAAAGCTCTAACGTTCTTTTACTAGAGTTCGTTGAATTCGCCCAATTTCAAAAGTCAGCTCTCTAGAGAGAATCTTGTGAATTCTTGTGCTGCGGTGTAAATACTCTCACAGAATTTCCTCCAAGACTCCCGTTTTGCCTTTCTAATTTCGTTGTTTTATGACGTTAGAATAGTTTTGGAAAGCTCCCAGATATCTGACTCTTTGAGCTCAATTGAATAATCATCGAACTTCTTTTCTTTGTTTTTGAAGGCTTTTGTTCCACCAAGAAGAGTTATGGTTATCTCTTTTAATCCTCAGTGGAAAGCTCTCATGATAGGATGAGATCACTGATTCGCGAAAGTGCTCCGCTATATCCATATCATTACAACTGTGAATAGTAATGAATCCGTCTGCAAAGGGAGTTTTTATACCCACTTCAATCAGTAGATTTTGAGTCACGATATTCTACTACTGGTCTTAGACCTGTTTCAATATTGAAAAGAATATATCTATGGTCTGAACAAGAAGGTTCAGTAGATACAGATCAATGGTGTATCTTGTTGCTCAGAGAATGTGGGCTAATGGTTGAGTCTACTACATCTTGCCTATTAATACTAATCCACCAACTTATATTACACACATCGGAAAAGTCTAGGGATATTCTTATAACATACTAAATATCATAAAAATAAATGCATGAGGTCGTTTAATTTCGATTAAATTGGTGCACTCGACCACCCTGTAGATTTCTATGGGTTGAACAAAGCCTGCAAAAACGGTAACTAATCTTTTATCAAGTTTTTTACAAANTTCATACACGTTTCAATATATCGAATCTTTTATCACGTACACAAAAACCTCATTAAAGCTATGTGGTGTGGGTGGTTCATCGTTCACTTCTTCATGGGTAGGGATTCAAGGCGCAGCGGAGTTTTTATTTTTAAGATAATGTCCATCGGTTATTCGAGACGTGAATGTAATTCAGATTATTTCATATTTATGCGATACCGAAACCCGGGATTGATCTCTCCAAAAGGAACATTTTATGATAAACGTTATTTCATGCTGCCTTGTCTGTAAAAGGCGTGAGTTTGTTATGATAGCATAAAATGACTCTCCAGAAAACTGAATAACTGTCAGAATTCTTAACACTCCGAATAACGAATAGATGAGAGTCACATACAGAAAACCTAATAGATTGTAGTACTGGGAGGCTGGAGGGCCTCATCAAAATGACCAGTAAATAGGGTCAGAATTTTTTTGTAACTATTCACGAATTTTCTTATAAATTTTGCCAATAAATTAAAAAAAAAGCATATTATCTTTGAATAAAATTCATACAAATGTGTACTATTATATAAACTTCAATTCAATGTAATTCGAAATTGAATGATGTTTTTTTCACAAATTCCGGAAATATGATGATATGGTATAACATATCAACAATAGTGTTATTCAGATTATAGAAAAATACCTTTCAAATTCACAGAAGTGTTGATTCTCTCGATAAAAAAAACAAAAACTCATGATGTGATACTAATAAAAAGACTCACCTCTTAGTTCTTTTGCATCTGCGGTACAAGGCCCCCTTTCCATAAGGCAATCTATATAATTTTTCACGAGCCTATCACTTTTCAAAATTTCATCAACGTTGATATTATCGTATTTTGTTGTATACTTCTCAGTGAAGACTGTCACAATCGAAACCCCCAGAATGACAGAAATGGTTAAACGTTTCATTTTTGAGTTAGTAAAAACGCCTGTTTACTGAACAGGGGAAGTGTTACGTCTTGAGCTTTTATATTTACAATTGAATAATATTCATAGAAAAATCAATCAGTAGCGTAGTTAAATTTACGTTTTTTCCCTCAACATGTGATTCGCTGGAGAAAACAAATATGTCTTTCGATATTTATTGTTTCTACTATGATAAGCGTTTTGAATTTGATCCTTTGTTAGTTTCTTATCGCACTGTAGTTTATGACAAAGCTCTCTTTCTCATGTCCAGTTTATCATTCAGAGAGTAGAAGAAATCCAAAAACATAAGAAACATTGATAAATTCATAGATTTCACTTTTCAAGAAAATTCCTGTAAAAACAACTTCACATCTTCGAAACATTTGAATGTTATGTGAAAGGTGAGATTATCATTAACAAAGTCAATAAGATTCATAAACTCAGTAAATTAATTCAATGAAAACTGGTAGAGTGCAAAATGAATAGTTGACTTTAATATAGGAAACATATCAAAAAAAAATCCATTTTACACACTTCGAGATATTTTTGCTCTAGAACTAACTTCGAGCAACGCATTTTTGTGTGTATTATATATGAATTGTGGATGTAAATAGTCCCCTTTCTCACTTTTGAAAGAAGCAAGATCATAGCAGAGGCATACTGAGGAATACTGAAAAAAAATTCCAATTGTTATTTATTTCATTCATGAAAATGAATCTTTACAGCTTTCTACATCATTTAGTATTCCATGTAATATCACGGATATGGTAACAAATTACAAAGTGATACCCTCCTTAGCTAGCTCATCCTTGTACTTTTTTTTGTAAATATTTTCAGGATCATATTTGGCGACGAGCTCATCAAACATTGGTCTTTTATTTTTGATGAGAAATTTTATCACTTTTTTCGTGGTTTCTTTCTGTTTGTCACTACATTTTGAACATTCGGTTTTCAAAGCGTCCGGAAGATGTTCTGCAATCAAAATATCAATAAATTAATGCTTTATATAAATGAAATACATATATCATTAAAATTGAACAATACCTATCACTAATGAAAGAATAAAAAAATTCATTGAAACCAGAAAAAATATCAAATTCAATAAAAACTAAAAAGAGAAATTCCGTAAGATTCCAGACGCTGAACTCTACGTAAAAGTAGCAACCTTATTTAGATAGGATCATATCGATTTTCCAGTACAGCAAATAAGGAACTCGCATTCCCTGGGGTTTCAATACGTCTTCTTTTTGCACGATCATGACCGAAGAATCGTCGTACCTAATCCAGCAGTTGTAGCCGACGTGGAAGGCATCGGTCACATAGTGTCCAATGTTGGCATTTTTCCTTTCGTGGTAAACGACGGCGAATAACTTGTATTGTTTCTCTGTTGGAGACTGTGTTTCCGACGATATCAAAGTCGAATCAAACTTCAAGTCGAATTCAAAATCAAAAGCCTTGATAATCTTCTAGCAACGGTCGTTGCTTCGAAATACTTCAGATGCAAAATAAGAATAACTGGAAGTTTGCAGAGCGTAATTTGCTCCCACGCTTCGACGTTCTCGTTTGTTTTCGACGAAGTCACTCCCTCTAAAATGTTATTGGAGACAAGCACTTTAAGCGCTTCTCCGACGGTCTTCACTTTCTCAATGTTGAGTGGCAGGGTGAGGAAAGGCTGTGTATTCTCAGTAATGTGGTCCACGTTAATATGAATGCTCGACTTTAGTTGTCCCCCGAAGATGTCACTTATCGGTGTATTGGTGAAATCGATCCTTCTGGTTGGATGTCCTTTATTTTTCGATTCTATTATGTTCCACATATTATTTGAATCATTGCTCAGAGCAGAGTCAACGAGAGGTTTTTCATCTTTAATATCCCACATAGCAATAGATATTCCAGGTATATTTTATGAATATACATTTAAGGATATTGTATTATGCTAGGAATATGCCATGGATATATATATATATCTTCTGGAGAATATTCCCTGGAAGTGCTCCTGGCGAACCTTTGATATATTCTAAGAATATTCCTTGGGAATATTCTTGGAATATCTTATAATATTCTTAGAATATCTAAGGTATATTCTATTAAGAATATTCCAGGAATAGAACCCGAGGAATATTCATAAAATATTCAGGATATTCTTAGTTTATTGTAGGAATATACAATAGAGAAACACCATAGAATATTCTTTAAATATATTTTATGAATATTCTAGGAATATTTGGAATATTCCAAGAATGTGACGAGTAACCGCTATTAGGCATGTATATATTGCATTTTGATACAAGATTCACACAAGTAATAAAACACATAATATTCATAAACAAATATATTTTAAAAACAATATACACTGAAATATTTGACGTTTCAACCAATATTAAAAATAAAAAATCTAATTCAAAATATTTATTCACTGAATAAAATATTCCTGAATACTGTCATATTACAAATATTAGAAATGTATTCAAATTAGGATGTTCCTACTCTCAAACAAATGTATACTAAAAAATATACTAAAATAACAACTCTGTGAATTCATCAGCACTAATTAAAAAATAATAAATATATCATTTCATTGAAAAAGAAAAAGTGTATTACATCAAGAAATAGGTTAGGTTAGGTTTCTCACTTAGA